ATAAATATGAAGTTATGATGCCATTTTTCAGAACATTTATGAATTGACATGCACCAAAACACTACACCCTTACTTTATTTCCTGCTAAAAGTGGTTGAACGGCCTCCCTAATTAATTACTCTGAGTAATTTTTTTTTACTTTTAAAGGTAGGTGGATTTTTTAAGTGTGAAATTGATTTCTTATTGACTTTTCAACCAGCAAACATTCTTTATAAGGTATGAAAACTTCTCTTTAATAAAGGCGTTTTAAAACTGTGAGACTGACGATACGTAATGGGCTAAATCTGACAATATCTACTAGTGGTAGGCTTTGGTTGTTACAAATGTTATCAAAGTCGGACATCGAGCGGTGTACTAGAGATGACGTCGGGTCCTAAGGGAGTGGATTGTGAGATCTCAAATTGGTCAGAGATGACGCGTTTTAAAATCGTGAGGGTACTGTGATACGTAATGGGTCAAAATAGATAATATCTACCGACGGAGACAATATCATCTAGTGGTGAGTCTGGGCTTTGGTTGTTATAAATGTTATCGGAGTCAACTTTGGGCGGTGTGCCAACGATGACATCGGGGCCTAAGGGGGTGGATTGTGAAATCTCACATTGGTTGAGAGATGACGCATTTTATAATCGTGAGGCTGACTGCGTTACGTAATGGGTCAAAGCAGATAATATCTAGTGGTGGGTTTGGGTTTTGGTTGTTATAAATGTTATCAGAGTCAGACATCAGGTGGTGTGCCAACGATGACGTGTCGGGCCCTAAGAGGGTAGATTGTGAGATCTCAAATTTGTTGGAGAGAAAAATGAAACATTACCTATAAATATGTGGAAATCTCCTCCTAGATTACGCGTTTTAAAGCCGTGAGGCTGACTGTGATACGTAATGGGTCAAAGCATATAATATCTACTGATTGAGACAATATCGGCTAATGGTGGGTCTGAGCTGTTACAAATGGTTTAGAGTCAAACATCGGGCAGTGTGCGAGCGAAGACACTAGACTAGCGATGAACTTAGGTTGTTACATAAATCTTCCATAACGCACGATCCCAAAATTTAGTGTTAATATTGTGATTTGTGTTTATTGCTAGATTAAGTTAAATATAGGTGTAATTAGGAAATCAAATTATCTATTAGAATGTCTTAGTACTAGGTTATATGATTGGTTGTTGCACGATGGTGATGTGTTTTCCTAAAATAATAAGACATTATGTATGATAGTCACGTGTATTATGAAAAACGTCTCGTATAAGAAATATTTTGTGTTGTATAATGTTTTCAACACGTCTACTAGACGTTTTTTTTATAATATTTAATTTATATTCTTTTATGTTCGAGGTTATACCCGACAAAATTAAAATCACTTTTAAATTTTAAGGGTATATTAAACAAAATTAAAAAAAAAAATAATACTATTATAAGGCCGATCACTAAATTTATAATTTAATTAAAAACAAGACCATATTCGTTTTTTTTTTTAAATATATATATTATGTTTAAAAATTATTTATCTTTAACCATTATAATTTCAAATTTTCAATTTTTTATTTTAAAAAATTGTGAAATGAATACAAAACGACGAATTTATTATTTATTTGGCGGCGGACAACCGTGGTGTCGGAAGGGCCATGACCCATACTATCATTAATTAAACAATTAATTATTACAATAAAGAAATTAAAAATAATTTTCAACCATTTTTTAAAATTTTTTATACAGTTATTTATTGATTCACTAATTTTCAATTTAAATATATTTATCTCAAATTTATGAATAAAATAAATCTTAAAACATTTTAACCATTTTGTTGTTTTATTATTCATATTTTTTTTAATTAAATATGAATATCACGTTGTTGTAAAACAATTGTAACAGTTACTCATTTAATATCATGTTAATGAGGTGCTAAGTCGAGTTATGTCTCAAAGCCTTCAAACACGATTATATCAATAGAGATAACAGTTCCCACTTATATCTTGTTGATCTCTCGTATTCTTTACCCGTGAATGATTATTTTGGAAGAAAAACGTATACCAAACTGGTTGAAAATTTTCCTCCATGAAAACAAAATTTTACATAACGAAGTTGGCATGAACATACATATAATAGAGTTCGTTTGAATGTGGAAGGTCAAAAAATGTGTACCCTATAAGTTAGCTTGTGATATTAATATTCATAAATGCATAGCTTCTCTCATTGTTTGCCAACTTGACCAAGGGTTCAATCAAGAGCTATATAGATATCATATCAATCTACCCATCTCTAACCTAATGATTTAATGACTTCCCATTTAAATAGTCGATTCACAATCGAACTAATGTGTTACTCAAGTTATAATATTCGTAGTTATTCAAGCTCGTTATGACCAAGCTAAAGTAATACAGAATATATAACCAAGTTCGAAATCTTGGTTTCATTTCGCAATTAATATATTTAATAGAGCTTGAAACCTCAACTACTTAGTTTGTTATACAAACTTTGTGAGATACCCACGTAGGTTGGAGAGAAAAACGAAATATTCTTTATAAGGGTATGACAACAATATAAGCGGACAATATCTGCTAGTGGTGGGCTTGGGCTGTTATAAATGGTATCAAAACCAGACACCGGACTGTGTGTTAGCGGAGACGCTAGGCCTCCAAGGGAGTGTTTATGAAGTCACACATTGGTTGGAGAGAGAAATGAAACATTTAGCGGTGGGTTTGAGCTGTTACATACAGACATCAAATTCATGTCACAATCAAAATATTGTGTTTCTCAAGCTAAATTGTTCGTTTACGGGTCATGCTACATTAATACACTTAAACAAAAGTTGATAACCTCAACTCTTTAGTCATTTGACACAATTAATATAACATTGGATATAAAATCTATTGTTATCTATAGCTTATTAAATGACTTTAGCTAAATAATCATGCACATTAATATTTTTGAGAGTCACGGAATAAAATAGCTAATAATCTCGGCTCCTTAGTTCGAGATATAAACTCTAATTCGAACAATTCGACATCTTAGTCTAAATGTCAATTTAAATATGGTTTATGGGATGCTTAATTCATTCTGGTTACGACAACAACTTTAAAAAGTTTGTAGATGTTAGTCCACATGTTACACATCTTTCATCGTAATAATGAGAAATAAGTATATGCATGTGAATGTCACGGTGTTGTTCCGTGAATATTACTCACTTTAAGTTCAATCCTTTTGTTGGTAGATACATGTATGAGTCTCTCAAACAGATCTCTTTGTAGCAATGGATAGGGATGGACCAGCTTCATGGGTTTGGTACTTTGGATATGGGCATGGTGGCTGATATGAGTTATGAATCTTTTATTCAGCAGAGTAGCCATTAAATGAGCTCTGGTAGCTGAATGAAAGCTCAAATTGCTTGTGGTTTGAAATATGAGTTATGAATCTTTTATTCAGCAGAGTAGCCATTAAATGAGCTCTGGTAGCTGAATGAAAGCTCAAATTGTTGTAGTTTGAAATATATGTTTGGTCTGTTATGTATCGTCGTTAACCTTACGATTTTAAAATGCAAGGTTTCCACACTCATATAAGGAATGTTTCATTCCCCTCTCTCACCGATGTGGATTCTCACAATCCACCCCATTCGGGGTCTAGTAAGGAATGTTTTGTTTCTTTTCCAACCGATGGAGATCTCATAATCCACCCTTCTTGGGAACCCAACGTCCTTACTGGCACACCGTTTAGGGACTGCTTCTAATACCATTTGAAATGACTCAAGCCAGCTGCTAGCAGATATTGTCCACTTTGGCCTGGTACGTATCGTCGTTAGCCTCACGGTTTTAAGACCCTTGTTAGAGAAAAGTTTCCACGCCCTTATAAGAAATATTTTGTTCTGCTCTCTAACCAAGGTAGAATCTCAATTTTTAGAATAGTAATTTAGGGTCTTATTTATCGAGCTATATGTATGAGACACCTAAGTAAAAGAGGGGTACATAAATGAACAGAGATTACTTTCAAATGAGAGTAATTCTGAAAATAAGATGACAAAAAAAAACTTAAAAAAATTAAAAATTACTACCTATATCAATAGGATAGGATAAGATGTAATAAGATTAATCTGATCTACTTCCATTATTTCCCCAATTCTCTCTCTTACATCAATTTTAGGTTTGACCATATATGCTTTTCTTTCTTTGCATTAATGTTCTTCTTCCTTCCCTCACAAGATTTTAATTTTATTTAAGATAATTCAAATTAAATCTCTAAAATATTTGTGTTTAATATTGTATATAAGAGTAAAGAAAAAACGCACCTCCAAACCATGCTTACCCTAGTCCTTTCTTCTTGGAGGCGTAACTATATATTACGTATCTTCCTGAACTCTCTAGTATTGTGAGTATGGAACCAACATTAACCTCTATTTTAGATCATAAAAACTTGCCTCACATGTACCGCTCCAAACAAATGGCATACCCTTCTTCGTTAACTATGTAAGAGGCTAGGATATTCTAGCAAAGTCTTGAACAAACTATCAGTAGTATCCTACTAACCCTAAAAAACTACACGCCTCATAATTGCTTCGATCTTGGTGGGGTTTACTGAGATACCATCTTTTGATACCATGTGTCCTAAAAACGAGACTTATTGTAGTCAAAATTCACATTTACCTCCCAAGAAGACCTAGTTATCTATCTTAAGTCTCAAAGTGTGTGCATGCACCTAATTCTCTATTTTTCATGTCACTTCATCCCGTTTCACAATTGAGCTTATGCATATCAACCAATATCATATCCGTGCATCTAACGCTAAAATACACTTCGTATTTTTCAAATGAACTTATAAAAATGGGTTGTATATGTTAGATGAACACGACTCTTCACAATGGTATAATATTGTCTACTTTGAGCATAAGCTCTTATGGCTTTACTTTGGGCTTCTCCAAAAGGCCTCATACCAATGGAGATAGTATTTTTTGATTATAAACTCATAATCATCCCCTAAATTAACCGATGTGTGACTTTCATCATCCAACCGTACAAATACACAAAAGATGCACTCTATAAGTTTAAAGCTTTTTTTCAAACAAATGACAACACTTCTACCAAACACACTAAAAAACAAAACACAAAAATAGTTTTTCACACTTGGAAAACAATAATGTTCTTCACAGAAACTTGATTTTGTGTGTCAGAGTAATACCCTTCTTCTATGGGTTCTTTGTGTTCATCTTTAAGTTCAGCAGTTGAAGCTGTCACGATGTATTACTGCGCTGTAGGATTTGAACAAGGGACCATAAGATATCCATTCTGTGTATGTTTCTGTTATTCTCCCCCTGTAATGGTTCAAAACCAGACATCAAACACAATGATTTGACAAGTACGATGAACATGAGCTAGCTAGCTTCCTTTAGCTTCCCTTACCTCAACCACAAAACAAATCCATGTCTTGTCGCCATGAGCTTCCGTTATGCCTTTGAGTATTGTGAATCCCAAGCTTCTAATGGCCTCGGCTATCTCCAAAAAGTGGCTGCATTCTTCACACAACATCTGCATAGAGAGGTGTGTCGCTTTTTCATTGAATCAAATGAATGAATTAAAGTTGAAGAAACCACAAAATTTGTATATCATACCTCTACAAGAATCTGTCCATTCTTGTTGAGACTCTCCACAATGATCGAACAAACTTTAAGTTGCCCACCCACCTCAACAGCCCAGCTTGAACCCTGGTCAGTATTTGAGGTTCCCATCCTGCCATTTTCCTTCTGATGCAGCTATAAATACATAACATGTAAGACGAAGACAACCGCGTTCATGATTCCAACATAAAAACGTTACATAAGCGCAAACAATTTGCAAGTCTAAGCCTGCCATCACAAGGGGCTTGATGTAAGATCTCACATTAGTTGGGTAGGAGAACGAAACATTCCATAGAAGACTGTGGAAAAACCTTTTCCTAGCAGACGCGTTTAAAAACATTGAGGGGAAGTCCGGAAGGGAAAGGTTCGGGCCATTACAAATGGTATCAGAGCTAGACACCAAGCGATGTGTCAATGAGGAGACTGAGCCCCGAAAGGGGTGGATTGATGGGTCCCACATCGACTGGAGAAGGAAACGAGTGCCAGCGAAGATGCTAGGCCTCGAGGGGGGTGGATTGTGAAATCCCACAACGGTTGAGTAGGAGAATGAAGCATTCCTTATAAGGGTAGGCATGCCATCGGCTTTTGCTCGGGCAAAATTAGCACAATAACGGAAAAGGTATCCTAATCATGTAGAAAAGATAAATAAGTTTCTTGTTAGGGTTGGGTTTCTAAGGCATTACCTTCATGTTGGCACATTTATTTAGCTTGTCAACATGCTTGCTGATGCCTTGCAAGAATAACATGTGCTTGATTGTGCGCTCCAGCAATGAATCAATACTACACTGCAATACAATCAAGAAACTTTCAGTGGATGAACCAAAAAAGCTATTTCCATCAAAAGGGAAAAATGGATGAATGGCTTCTCCAGACTTACTTTTGCTCCATTTGGTACGAGCTCCCGAAGTTCTTTGATCCGGTCCTGTATCAATTGTCTGTCCCTCGGCCTAGGCCTACAACTCTCACCTGGCCTAGCCCTTCTTTTACTGTTCTTCCCCGGTTCCGAAGACTTCTCCAACCGCTCACTGCCAGTACCAGAATAAGTCGACGAAAACCCTTTTGGGGACATCACCCCACATATTCCAGATGAGCTTAAAGAGTTTGGCATGTCCTCTCCAATAAAAGATGTTCGACTTTGACCCATAGAGTATCCTTCTGAACAAGCAGATGTTGTAACGTTCGTGGAAGGCTCGGGAATTCGTTCGGATGTTAACAGAGACTGTCCAGACTTGCATAGAGATGTGTCGCTTTTAACATCAGAACCACTGTAACAAACATCAGCCACTACTGCTTCTAACAGATGCTCCATCGGTGAATCAGATGTCAACTGGCTGCTACTCATTCCCTCAGATAAATTGGAAGCTCTACCACCAAAAACGTACTCGGTTTGCCAATCAAGATAAAGGGCATCTTTTAGAAAAGCAGGACCGAGTACTTCGTGCAGCTCGTAACCAGCAGGGAACTTCAACGATGCGTTTGATGGACACCCATCTTCCGATGCTTCAACATCATTTTGCAAGTACATTTGTGTAGGATTGGTTCGGCTAAACATGGCGTTGTGATTCACAGGGAAGCATGCGTCATTTGTTATGTCCATGGCAGAGTTTTGTGATGGTGCATTGAATTTTTGTTTCAAATCTACTGCCATATCTTTGTATCCACTAGGCTCCCCTCCACATATCCTGTCATCGAGCAATCTCGCTTGTGATTTAAAACTCTCCACATTGATAGCATCCGGCTGTGTTTTTAGAGATTCGTTGCCCCCAGATCCCGACAACTCTATCCCGACGTTCTTGCTGACACTTTCATCTTCACTTTTCTGTACAAGAAGTAACTTAATAACAGAAAGATCCCAAGTTTTATCATCATTAGCGAAGAAAAGTACGATAAAGAAAGAGAGTTACCATGTATCCCGAACTCTTACAAGAAGGCATTGGCTCAATATGCCCTGCTGAAGACTCTTGAAGAGTTAGGAAGACGTTTCGGATGTGAGCCACAACGTTGACATCCTCAGTGACCTAAATCCAATAAGAAAACGAACACGGTACAATAAACTAGAGTTAGATGACATTCATATTTAAGAAAGCCATGAACTGAATGTTTATAAGATATCTCTGCACTGATCCATGCAAGCTAAATCAAGTATTCTCTCCAGGTAGATTAAGTAATTGTTTTCCGATGAAACAATTTTATAAACAAGTATAGAAGTTACAAACGGGTGATTAGGAACCCAATGCCCATCCTGCCCTAAATCTAGACGGCGAGCTTAGAAATTAATATCTCAGTCACATATCGATAATATTATAAGCTCACTACTAGCAAATATTGTCCGCTTTGGCCCCTTGCGTATCGCCGTCAACCTCATGATTTTAAAACGTGTCTGTTAGAGAGAGGTTTCTACACACTTATAAAAGGAATGTTTCCTTCTCCTCTCCAACCGATGTGGGATCTCACAATCCACTCCCCTTGAGGCCCAGCGTTCTCCGCTGGCAAACTGCTCAGTGTCTGGCTAATACCATTTGTAACAGCCCAAATCGATGTGGGATCTCACAATCCACCCCCTTTGGGACCCAGGGTTCTTGCTGGCAAACTGCTCAGTGTCTGACTTTAATACCATTTGTAACGGCCCAAATCAATGTGGGATCTCACAATTCACCCCATTGAGGGCCGGCGTCCTCGCTGGCACACTGCTCGGTGTCTGACTCAGATACCATTTGTAACAGCCCAAATCAAGATGTGGGATCTCACAATTCACCCCCTTGAGGGCCAACGTCCTCGCTGGCACACTGCTCGATGTTGGCTCTGATACCAATTGTAACAGCCCAAGCCCACCACTAGCGGATATCGTCCGCTTTGGCCTATTACATATCGTCCTCAGCCTCACGGTTTTAAAATGCGTCTGTTGAGGAGAGGTTTCCTGTAACGACCGAGGCCCACCACTAGCAGATATTGTCCTCTTTGGGCTTTCCCTTTTGGGCTTCCCCTCGAGGCTTTAAAACGCATCTGTGGGCTTCCCCTAAAGGAATTAAAACGCGTTTGCGGGCTTCCCCTCAAGGGTTTAAAACACATCTGCAGGCTTCCCCTCAAGGGTTTAAAACGCGTCTGCAGGCTTCCCCTCAAGGTTGAAAACGCACCTGCTAGAGAGAGGTTTCCACTCCCTTATAAAGGGTGTTTTGTTCTCCTCCCCAACCGATGTGGGATATCACGTTTCCACACGAATATTTCTTTTTCCACCCCAACTGACGTGGAATCTCACAAAAACACTCTATTACAAGAGGCCAAAAGGCAATAATAAGACACATGAATCCAAAACCAACCAGTGGCCCAGAGCACAGTTTTAAAACGTATCATCGTCATCGTCAGCCTCACGGTTTTAAAACGTGTCTGTTAAGGAAAGGTTTCCACACCCTTATAAAGGAATGTTTCGTTTTCATCTCCAACCGATATGGGATCTCACAAAAACACACTATTATAAGAAGCCAAAACCCCAAAAAGATCTATAAAATGACAGTGAACAAAAGAAATTATCAAAATCTTCCTTGGATATCGAAAAAGCACACCACTCCATCAGTGAATATGAAGCCCAAAAAAAATGTTCTAGTTCAGCAAGGATCATAATTCACAAGCTTTCACAATCTACCAGATGGAAGAGGCTCTTACTTTATCTAAAGATCCAAGCTGTAAGACCCCGTGCGGAACAACTGCTACAACAACAATAGTCTACAAAGCGTATAAACAAAAATTCAGTAATCAATAACTAAAACAATTGACGAGCGAGAGAGAACGGCTGCCATACCTTAATGCCAGCTAAAAATTGTGTTTGCCAACCATCGCAGTACTATTAAGAAATGATCAGACAATGAGTAACAAAACACAACCCAAAATGGTCGAAAAACAAGCATTAATCATATACCTGAAATGATCAGATAAACTTCAGTAACTTATATTATTGCAGAACAGGAAAGAATAGCACCTCAAGTGTTGAAGAGATATTTTGTATTTGCTCATCTGCAGTAATCCATTGATGTTTTCCAGTAACTGCTACCTGTCCAACAATCCTGCAAAAGGAGATAACAATTACAGCAAGGTGAAGCCAATTAGAACCTACCATACAATAGCCATATAGAATGCATTATGCTAAGATTTTTACCCTTCCCCAAGAGAATATACATGATAAGACATCTTTGCAACAGCTAATCCAAGAGGGTCGTGTGAATAATGTCCATCATGAAATTTCTCGAGCGTTTTTCTGTAAAACTTGCTCTTCGGGGGTTCATATTGTTCAGAATTGTCATAGTAGCCATCCTCCCAAGTCAGCATCCTGAATTCAACATTCATTTAAAATATAATAGATCAAACTCAGCCTTAGATATCTATATATATAGTGTAGACTTATGATGTTTTGGTCGAAGTTACAGTAACGTCTTAACCATCGAAGAATCATAGTACGAAAACAAGTATTTTCTTTCACATCATCCTAAAATCTTCCTTACAAACCAGAAAGAACAAAAGGGTTCGTCGTATAAATCCTCAAAAAGCAAGAAACCGAAAGGAAAACGACTTACATTCGAGCTCGATGCTTAAGTTTCCAAAAGACAGCATACTTCCATTCCGAGTTGAAACAAAAGCTTTTGAGTATTTGATGCAAATCATCAGTACCCATCTCTGACTGAAAAACTTTGTCAAACGCCCTCTAAAAAGACTACCCTACAAAACAGGGCTTGCCCCTATAATCACCTTGAAAAAAACCCAACTCTAAACACCTTGAAAACAAAATCCCCCAATTTTCCTAGCTTCCCCTGTATGAGCCTCTACCAGCCTGCTTTATCCTCAATCCTGCTCGCCGTTTTATTGGCGGTCCAATTGCTGGTGATAGCAGAGGATCCGTTCCCATCCCCCTGAACTCAACAATTCAACACAAATAAGATGGTATCAGCAAATTTCAGCACATATCGCATAGCTTCTAACGCAGTGGACTCCATTAGAGTAGGTATAAGTAAAACAATCCATTAAGAAGAAGAACAGCAACAGTAAGAGCTCTTTTTCTCGCAGACCCACCACAGATCACTCGAACAAGGGCAAGATTAAACCCTAAATTATGTCGGACGACATGGATGAACTTATGAAATCGTCATAAAAACAAGAATAGAACAACCAGACAAGAAAAGGGAGATTTCAAGGCTCAAATGAAAACCGAAAACCAAAACCCAAGAACCAAAAAACGTCAAAAGAGAAAGGGGGTTGGATTTGAACAAGCCCCTTTACAGAACGAAACAGATTTGAAGCTTTTTGACCAAAAGAAACGACGAGAATCACAGAGAAATTCAACGCCCTGATCTACATTTTCTTGCATATTCTTTCCTTTTCTTGTTTTGACTCCGAATTTCACAGAGGGAGAGGGAAAAATGCTGAAATGCTAGAAAGAGAGAGAGAGGTTTTGTATTGAGTTTTGTTCGCTTTTTCCTGAATTTGTGAGGGCAAAATAACAGAACAGAACAGAACAGAAACGCACTCACAAGTCACAGCAACGGATGGTGGAGAACTTGAAAAACCAACGCCTTTAATACAACCGGACGGCTCATTTTAGCATTGCCGGGAAACTGGGGGCTGCTCAGTCGTTGTATTGACCCGTCTTATTCTTCCGGCGCACGTTAGGTGGTGATTCCTTTTTAGTGGGGGTGTCTTTGTAATACCTTTGGCAATCGAGGGCAAAAAAGGAAACAGGACTCTAAAATAATTCTATTTTAGACTGACTTCTTACTGACACATAAATGAAAACAAAACATACTACAATTATTCGTGTTGGTTTGTGAAGATAATCTTGTCAGAAAAATGTCTAGGTAATTAGTTAGATCGTGTTGGTACATTCACCCGTCAAAAATAAAAGTGGCAAACAAGATGATGTTTATGGAAGGAAAATGCTCCCTTGAAGAAGAAGAAAAAAAACTTTTTTTTTAGACAAAGGGCATATGAATGCTCGTTTGACGTCCTTTTCAACCATGATTTTATAGTTTATAAAAGTTGTCGTGATTCCATTGTTAACAAAGTGTGCTTTTTTTTCCCGTAGCTCAATCATAAAAGGTTCATAGTTAAGCATGTTTTACTTGGAGCAAATCTGTTAGATTGACATCATAAAAATCTCACTGAAGTTTATATGGATGAAGATAAAACATGCTGGAAAAACTCGTGTTGCAAGAGAATGTCGAAGTTACCCTATGTCTTTTTTTTTAAGGTTTTTATTTTAGCTTGATGTTCTACTTATTTCAACAACGTTGAATGTGCCGACATCATTTTGGGAATCCCATGATGTGTGTTTTAAGAATGGTGATATTGTGGGATTTTTGCTATTCATTTCCAATCATTTTTTTATTTTTTTTATTTTATTTTATTTTGTTTGTTCCCTTTTGGGAGGGGAAGTGATTATAGGGAAAAAGAAATCTACTTTTTGTCATGAATAATTAGAAACAAAACAAAATAATGTCAAAAAAAGGAATGCCTTTATTAAGAATTTAAAAAATATATAAAAAAAAAAAAAAAAAGTTAAATGTATGATTTAGCTATTATATTATTTTAATTTTTTTTTTTTTTGTTATATTGGTACCGGTCTTTTGGAAAAACCCAAGAGTAAAGTAAAGTCATGAGAGATTATAGTAAGGTATACAATATCATACCAATGTAAGAGTCGTGATTCCTAACATAGTATCAGAATCATGCCCTAAACTTAGTCATGTCAATAAAATTCTCAAATGTCGAACAAAGAATTGTGAGCTTTGAAGGTGTAGTCAAAAGTGACTAAAGTGTTAAATAAAGGGTGTACTTTGTTCGATGGCTCAAAATAAGAAGTTGAGTCTCGATTAAGGAGAGACTATTTGAGAGCTCCATAGACCTCAATGAGGCTCTATGGTGTACTTTGTTCGAGGGGAAGATTGTTTCATTCCTTTTAAAAAAGACATAAGAGCTTAGAATCAAAATGGACAATATCATAGTATTGTGGAGAGTCCGTTAATACTATTAAAAAAAGAAACCAAATGATAAGAAAGATGAGCGATGAAAATCTAATGCGATCAATTACGCCTAAAAAAAATAATCAATTTGTACAAAGTGATTTATTCCTAATTTATTCCTCAATTTTCACTATTTTATTTACATTAATTTTGGACCTTTTGCAATTGAAACCGACCAAAAAGATCACCCGATAATCGATATAATAAAGTTGTGATACCTAAGTAAAATATAAACGGAAAACCACATCCAAATGGGAGCGATCTTGAGAATAAGATGACTGAGAAAAATCTAAAAGAATTGAAGATTATTACTTATTACAATAAAGTGCACATTTTTTTTTCGTTTGCTCAATAATAGTTTTCACTCGTGTTAGATTGTAGGGATAATTTTCACTTTTAGAAACGAGAATTATGTAACCTGACCATGTCGCAGGTGAACGTCAGAAAAATTTTAGTAATATTAATATTGTTATAATAATGTGACAAGTCCACGCGGACGTAGCTAAACTGAGATAAAAGATACACAATTTACTACTTAGCTTTTTACTGACACGTAATCTACAAGACGAGTCCTAAGTCTTGACACTCATGAATGACAACTTTGATATCTCTCTCCATTGGTCATTCAGTCAATTTCGATATCGATTATGTGTCAAAATGGAAGACCTATTGGAAAATCAAACTTTCTATAATGCATATTTGTGACATTAGTGGACATTACCTCCAAAATAATATCGATATCTTCTCTATTACTCTCGATATTTTAATAGATTCAATTATTATTTTAAGAGTTAATGGTTCGATTCTCCCTGTATAATTGTTGTATACTCAATGCCAAGAAATAATTTTTTCGCACGAAAAAACAGCTCGATTTCGGAACTACCCTAGAACGCAAGCCAAAACGGGCCGGTTTCGCAAAATTCAATTCCCAACCATCAAGTTGGGGCATTCCCCACCACAATGTCAAGAAATAATTTCTTCGCATAAGTGCGAAAAAACCACTCGAACTGCCCTAGAACACAAGTGAAAACGCGCCGGTTTCACGTTTTGAAATTTAAAAAAGTTTCTAATAAATTGTTAAATTTTCAATTTTATATCTAATAATCGGATTATTATTTTATTGAAAACAAAGTTTTCTATAATTTTTATTATTATAAAAATTATATTAAGATATTTCAAAGTAAATTCATTTAAAAAATGTATGTATCCATATAAATTAGATAATTTGTAAAAATGTTTTTTTTTTATTATTGAAACAAAACTTTATTATCTAAAATTTGAAAATTAATCTAAATTTTACCCAAAATAAATAAATAAATATATATTATTTAAGTATACAACCCTAGCATAGCTGGTTTTTCCTTTCCCTCTGAGCATTAAGCATTAGCCAGGCGGAGTTCGTAGCTATGGTGGAAATCCCAGATGAGCTCCTTCAAGTCTTCATCTCTCTATCCCGGCGGAACCCTAAGCTCGTTGACGGCGCTACAACATTGATCGTGCTCCACCTCCATCCCTTCCGGTACTGTTTCTACTCTCCTCATCTTTCGAATTTCATCCGCCATTGCCACTAGTAGATATCGATTCAACTCTTTAACGGCGAATTCTTTCAATCCAAATGGTTTCCAAGACTGTAGCCTCCGCTATTTCTTCCTCTCTTTTGCCAGCTCCGTCGAAAGGCAAGCTCTCGTCTCTGTTTACTCACCCAACAATAATTGCATCTTCAAAACCCCAAAATCCATCTCCAATTTCTGCCGAATCCCCGCCTGTCATCTCGAAACCGCCAAATTCGAATGTTTCACCGGAAGTTTCGCTGGAAAAGTCAACTACAGAGATTTCGTTTCATGAACGGCTTCGGACGTTCCTTCAGAATTGCAAGACGGGTAATTTTACCGTATCAGAAGCATTGCAATTTTTTGACCTAATGATGCTTGCGAATCCTACCCCTGCAATGTCTTCATTCAATCTTTTACTTGGTGGACTTGCTAAGACTAAGCACTACTCTGAGGTTTTGAAGCTGTATTATAGAATGAGCTTAGCCGGACTTTTGCCTAATTACATCACGCTTAATATTTTGCTTAATTGCCTTTGTAATGTGAATCGGATTAGCGAAGGTCTAGCAGCCATGGCGGGGATTATAAGGAGAGGTTATGTTCCCAATATAGTGACATATACGTCCCTGATTAAGGGCTTGTGTATGGAGCATAGGATTAGTGAAGCTACACGGCTGTTTATGAGAATGCAAAAGTTGGGTTGTAGGCCAAATGTGATTACTTATGGGACTTTAATCAAGGGACTTTGTCAAACGGGTAATACTAACATTGCACTTAAGTTGCATGAGGAAATGCTCAATGGGACTGGTCGATACGGCATTAGTTGTAAGCCTAACGTTATTTGTTATAGTACCATTATTGATGGGCTCTGTAAAGATGGGCGGGAAGACAAGGCAAGGGAACTTTTTGAGGAAATGAAAGCTCGGAGAATGCTTCCAGATGTGATTTCTTACAGCTCTTTGATTCATGGATTTTGCAATGGTGGAAAGTGGGAGGAGGCTAAATGTTTGTTCAATGAGATGGTGGATCTAGGTATTCAACCAAATGCCGTCACATTTAATGTGTTGATGGATATACTTTGCAAGGCAGGAAAGGTTATCGAGGCCAACAAGTTGCTAGAGGTGATGATTCAGAGAGGTAATGTTCCTGATTTGTTTATTTATAATACATTGATGGATGGGTTCTGTTTGGTTAGTGATCTAGAGAGTGCAAGGGAACTGTTCCTTAGTATGCCAAGTAAGGGGTGTGAACCTAATGTGATTAGCTACAATGTGCTAATCAATGGGTATTGCAAAAATTGGAAGGTGGAAGAAGCAATGAAGATTTACAATGAAATGCTTCAAGTGGGCGTTAAACCTTCTGTGATAACATATAATGCCCTGCTAACGGGTCTTTTTCAGGCCGGGAAGGTTGATGATGCAAAGAAAATATTCGGTGTCATTCAAGCTCATGGTTTGGTGCCGAGTTCAAGTACATTGAGTATCTTTGTAGATGGGCTGTGTAAGAACGATTGTTTGTTAGAAGCAATGGAAATTTTTAACGAGCTTTCATACAACTTGAAATTGGACATTGATATCTTTAATTGTCTTATCGATGGCCTATGTAAAGCAGGGAAACTTGAAACAGCTTGGGAGTTCTTCGACAAAATTTCCCGTGAAGGGTTTCTGCCAAATGTTGTGACCTATTCCATTCTAATCCATGGGTGTTGTAAAGAAGGACAAGTAGAAAAGGCAAATGATTTATTTCGAAAGATGGAAGAAAATGGTTGTACGCCCAATGTAATCACCTACAATACACTTCTCCGTGGTTTCTACAAAAGTAATAAACGAGAGGAAGTGGTTGAGCTTCTTCATAGGATGGTTAACAAAAACGTGGTGCCAGATGCTTCCACCTGCACCATAGTCTTAGACATGCTTTCCGAAGACGAAAAGTATAGGGGATGTTTGAACTTGCTTCCAACGTTCCCTGTCCAAGATTATCGAGGTTGATGACAACAATTCAGAAATATCTATTGACTGATAAGGGATTATGCTTGAAATTTCAGATAAGCTTGATAATCAGAGCATAACGTTTGGAAATTCGAAGCTCTGTTGGTTTCCCTTGTTGGATGTGTAGCAGCTACCCATAAGTTGAGCAAATTTTGAGTTCTCATGATGAACTTGCCTTGACTTCTGCCTCATGCATACATGTCTAACCCCAGCCAGGTGTTCTTGGCTGTAAGCAAGGTTCATTATTCTACTAGATCTCTTATTCATAATAGTCTAGAGGCAAAGCCACCTTAAGGTCTTTGATCATCACAAGTTTGAATAGACTACTTTTTCTGAGTTAGATATATAGTTGTGAAGCCAACTTCTTATGGGTTCAAACGTTTTGGCTGCCGACTTAAGATGTTGAATATCTCCTATAACTATAAGCTCGAGTGGAGGAACATTAATGTCATGTTCAATGTCTACAACTCGCTGTATGGTACAAATAAGGATGAAGAATACGTCAGTCGTTCTCTCTTGCTTGAAATCGATCCATTCAGATAGAAACTCAGAGTTAAGAGCACCTGGTTCAAAAAGAAAAGCTTCAATCAATCAACAATCACACAAGGAAAAGATTCATGGTGAAGGCAGAAAACAGAATGACCCAGCAACTTCTTCCCCTCAGGTATAATAAGGGTCACAGGAGCTCAATGTCCATTATCCTTTGACATACTGACATATAATGAAAGATTTTTTGAACATATTGCCTAATGGGTAAATTTTGTGGCCATGATTTGAGCCTTTCATTGAGATTATCTGCAAATATTCAGTTCAGCACGTGTACTGCTTCACTAGAACATGACCTCTTTTGTTTTCTACTCTCTGTTCCTTGATATGAAAGAGTGGAGAATATTTCCTCTGTTCCTAATGATCTACAATTTAGGTTTAAATTTAGATTTCATGAACTTCTATAAGATCTGTTCTGTCTCTGAATTTTTTTTTAATAATCATTTTGATTTTTACGATTATTTTGTCATAAATTATTTAATAGGCAAGTAACGTCGAAGCCCGAGGTATGGTTGATGTGACCAAGAGCTCGCATGGAAGTATGAGGTATGTAAGGTATATTAAATTGTTTTAAAATTTATATGATTTAAATTACAATATTGTGTTAAACCTAGATGTTTTTATATTTTGATAGGAAAAAATTCAAAAACTAAAATTAATATTTTTTTTTAATTTTAATGAGTGTTATTTTTTAATCTCATTTATGAAATTGAATGTTTTTATTATATGAAATCTGTATTTTATAAAAATAGTGATAATAATATGAATGTGGACATAAATTATTATAAAGAAAAAATAAAAGATACCATTTATGTAACAAGGCTTGATTAGATATAAAGGCAAAATTGTTGCCATAAATAAAAACAAAAACTTAATACTATAATTTTAATTTAATTAGACTAAGGTAATAATACATGATTGACTTGACTGACCATAATGAATTAAAATTCAATCTTTGTATCATAGGCTTTCACTTCTTTTTAGAAATAGCATTTTTTTTATGACCAAATTGGACATAATAATACCAAACCCAATTAATAATAATAATAATAATAATAATAATAATATGATAAAAGACAAAATGGCCTCAAAATTCAACCATAAATAATTGTTTTAACTAGACATGGATCAAACAAAAATCTTTCACAATCTATTTTAGAACTATTTTATTCTTACAAAAATATATTTATTTTTTGTGTTTTTAATAAAGAAATATTCTTGAATCCAACTTTACCCCTATTGTAAATTTACAACAGTTATAGGGTATTTTTGGTATGTGTTTATGATTCGGTTTATTATGGCTCCTTTCATAATTAGATAGCCAAAAATATATTTTTGTTCTCAAAATAAACAAAATAAATAAATAAATAAATAAATGAGGGGTTAAATTGGGAATAAGAAGTGAATCCTTTCCATTTTACAAAATAAAAACATTAGGAAAAGACTAATATACTCAACGGTTTATGGACCCATTGGGTCCCACGCACTGTCAGTCAGTCACCGACTACCAATGCACTGTGATTTTCTCTTCTCCTCACCCATTGCGTAAGTTAGCAAATGCTATTTTTTTAAGCTAAATAAATAAATAGAAAAAGCAAAAAGTTCTTTTTTTTTAAAAAAAAAGCGCAACAGTCAAAACTGCACTTTGAGCTACGTGTCAGCCCTTCAAAGCTGAAAGTATTACACGTGGCAAATTCTGATTGGGTCGCTTTTACAAATTGCTACTCTCTTCATTTCCTCGTGCCCAATTTCGTGGGCCCCACTCTTGGTGGGCGTTTTTTTATTGTTTTTTATATAAAAAGTATTATTATTATTTAATCAATTTTAAATGTTTGAATCTAAAATTTATAAAAAGTAAAATGTAAAGACTAAAATCAACTCATTATTAATTTGGTTAAATTCTTAAATTATAATTTATAAATTTTATATTTATTTCATTTCCCCAGATTTCAGAATGTATTTTAATTATTTTAAATTTACTAAACCCTAATTTAAAAACATATTAAATACGAAATTAAAATATTTAACCTATTAATTTCTTTTATTTTAATAAAAAAAATAGTGTAAATGGTGGGACCCACGTGGAAATCCGAAACAAAGACGGCAGTTTCATTTCTCTGCTTCCTGTTTCGTCTTCCTCATCCATCTGCTTCTCATCATTTCAATCAATTTTTCCCAAAAATTCTCCATTTCTTCCCCTTTTCCCTCTCTATTTCTTTCTCTCACTTCCCACTTCTTCTTCTCTCTCTAGAAAACCATCTCTTCTGAAGCGAGACAGAGACAGAGATGGATGGATGGATGGATGGATGGATGGATGGATGATTTGCGCTTTCTCTTCTTTTGGGTCTCTCAAATTTCGCTTCAGTTTATACTTTAATCATAGCAATGGCAGAAGAATCTAGGGTTCCTAACTTCTGTTTCTTCATCGCCTTTTTCTCTGTTATTTTCTTCGCCCCCATTATGCTTGATTTCAGCTAGGGCTTTCAGAGTTCGAGATTTCGCCCATTTGGGAAGATGGAAGAGGTTGAAGATGCTAATAGGGAAGCTGTTGAGAGTGTTCATAAAGTATTGAATCTGTTGACTGTGACATCGCCTCAAGATCACTCGAAGATTACGCGTTGTTTAATGGCGGGAACTGGAGAGGCTGTGTTTAAGTTTAGGAAGGTTTTGTGTCTTCTTGATTCTGTTGGGTTGGGTCATGCAAGGGTCAGGAAAAAGAAGAAGATCATGAACTTTCATCTTGATTCCTCGCCTTCCCAATCAATGTTCTTAGAATCTTCTTCCCCTAATTGCAGAATGGACCTTCTCCAGGGTAGAAATTTGCAGATGGGTCCTCACTCATCTTTGGAATTGAACTCAAATGTCAAACACTGTTCAATCCAACAGATTCAACCTCAATCTGCTGCTGTTTATCATCATCTGCTTCAGAACAGGGTGTTGTTGAATACTCAGCAGCCTGAAATGGGGTATCTTAGGAGCAATAGTGGTGTTAACTTGAATTTTGATAGCTCTAGCTGCACACAACACACAATGTCATCCACTAGGTCGTTTATGTCTTCCTTGAGCATTGATGGCAGTGTGGCAAACTTGGATGGGAGTGGCTTTCATTTGATTGGGACGCCTCGGTCTTCCGATCAGAATTCACGCCATAAAAGGAAGTGTTGTAGGAGAGGGGAAGATGGGAGTGTTAAATGTGGAAGCAGTGGGAAATGTCATTGCTCAAAGAAGAGGTTGGGAAGTTTTGGTTTTGTTTATGAAATTGTTTCGATATCGAAATGGGGATGGTTTGATATGTTTTTCTGATTCGATTTTGATGATCTTCTTGCAGGAAACATAGAGTGAAGCGGTCGATCAAGGTGCCTGCCATTAGTAACAAGCTTGCTGATATCCCTCCTGATGATTTCTCATGGAGGAAATATGGCCAAAAGCCAATCAAGGGCTCTCCTCACCCGAGGTATATGAACATCCTTCCACTCCTTTTCAGTTTATTGTGCTGATGTTGGATAGTTCATTATAGATTGATATTGGGATTATATGCATTTGGCTGCCATTACTATATGAGATCATTGGTTGAAAGATGTCGATTATATTCCTTATCTGGTAATCTAGTAGGGATATTGAAAACTTGCTCTATTAGTTTGTGCCTCATGTTCTCTTAGTAGAGTAGTCCATTGAATTCTTCACCAACATGGGGGAGGCCGTTTTGTGTCGTTTATAAATCGAGCCGGAATCATTTGTTAGGAATCACGACCCTCCACATTGGTATGATATTCTCCACTTTGAGCATAATCTCTCATGACTTTGCTTTTGGCTTTTCTAAAAAGGCTTCATACCAATGGAGATGAGGATCAACCCCCTAATTAGCTGATTAGCTGATGTGAGACTCCTCTTCCAACAATCCTCCCCTCGAACATAGTACACCATTGAGCCCCCTGAGGCCTATGGAGCCCTCGAACAACCTCCCCTTAATTGAGGCTCGACTCCTTTGGAGCCCTCGAACAAAGTACACCCTTTGTTCAACACTTGAGTCACTTTTTACTACACTTTCAAGAGTCCCAACTTCTTTGTTCGACATTTGAGGATTCTATTGACATGGCCAAGTTAAGGATATGGCTCTGATACTATGTTAGGAATCACGACCCTCTATAATGGTATGATATTATTCGCTTTGAGCATAAGCTCTCATGGTTTTGCTTTTGGCTTCCCCAAAAGGCCTCATACCAATGGAGATGTATTCCTTACTTATAAATCCATGATCAACCCCTTAATTAACTGACGTGGGATACCTCTTCCAACCATCCTCAACATCTGTCTTGTTCATATGTCAGCGTTGCATTATGTACTGTATGCATTTTGCAAATTCTTTTAACATGGCTATTGAAACTTGGTTGATGAATTTGTAAGAGCAACCAGAGTTCCACAGATTCTCCATGATTTGATATCGTCGATGTTGATCTTAATTTACTCTCAAACGTCGGCAGAGGATACTATAAGTGCAGCAGCATGAGAGGTTGTCCAGCAAGGAAGCATGTTGAGCGGTGTCTCGAGGAACCTTCAATGCTCATTGTTACATATGAAGGTGAACACAACCATCCCAGAATAGCTTCTCAATTCCCAAATACTTGAACCCCATCAAAACTACTACCCGAAAAGGATTCGAAAACCTCCACGAAACATAGCGGAACTCGAGAGTTGCTGTACATATGGAAGAAGAATACTTATGGAGCTCTGCATTTTAGCTCTTTTGAGAGGTGGGTTTGCTTGCAAAAGCCTGTTTTAATCACATCTGGCAATTCTGAAGCTCAAAGAGAATTTTGTGGATTAGGGTGTGAATGTAAAATCTTGAAGAACTCTCATCCTTCTCTGCAATTACTGCTTCGAACAGCTTTTCTTATTCTAAATTAATGGAGAAGTCCTCAAGAGCATTTTTCAAATTATTCTTTTTTCGTAGGACGTACTTGAACCAATAATCATCTTTCAGCTAAATGGAACATAGTTAAGTGAGCTCGTTTATATTTATGAAATTTTTCTAGTACTTCGAGAATATGGATTTACTTTTTATGTATGGTCTAGATAAGGAGTATGATACAAACATAATCCTCGTGTAATTAAGAGTATGATATTCTTGTAATATAGATTCTTTTTTTTTTTCATAGTCGTACAGTGGTGATTAAAGAACGATTAATCTTTTGAGCTTGCGCGGTTTGCTAACTAGGTCAGTTCTCATGGCTCTCGACATGTCACAATCTAGAGACATTTTGATCTTGGGAATCCATGGTGAACAAAATAATCAATAGACTAGAGGTGTTGACGGGGTAGATGGAGATAAAGATGGACTTGTCATTTGGATAGAAAAGAACGGAAACTAGTAAAATTGTGACATGTGAGAAGCACGTGAAATTTCTCTCCACTAATATGTAGAAATTCTCAGGTCCAAACTCAGCCCATCATTCCACTCGGCTCGTTTTATTAGAGATTCAAAAACTCTCAAATTTTTAGTTGAATATATGTCTTAACCACTGCATCAATACTCGGATTGGTTAATATATTAAATTGTAACAAGATAACATCTTCTTATTCAAAAGTCCCATCTAAACTACTTCTTTTGTTTTGTAGTAATGTAAGATGCCTATATTCTAGGATGTCCTTCTAAGGGCGTCGTCTTCTTAGTTTTTTACTCTACTTCATTTCGGTTGTACACCCGTTCAACAAAAATATCATTTCAAATATGATAATGACTCATTAATTAAATTATAACTTTCTACCACGTGTAAGTTCGTTTTTATTTCAACAGAAAAAATGGAACTTCTATACTTTAAGATTTTTTTAATTTAGTAATTACTAATAGATCTATCATAATATCAGATTATTTTTAAATTAAACTATATTCAAGTTGATCTTAAATTTTAAAATAGTAGACAGAATGATCTTAAATTAAATTAATAAATATATAACTTTGTAATTGAATATTTTATATAAAGTAAATTATATATTAAAAGTTTTTTTTAATAAATATAAAATATTACTTCGCCAACGTGCACTGATATAATTTTTTTTAGAGTCTAAATAAAGAATAACAATAATAATAAAAGGACAGAAAACAAAATTGTAAAAAATAAAACCGTTGAATTTTAAAGTGGGCCCCGCCGTAACGGAGTCTCCAATGACAGCTGGACATTGCCTCACCATCCATCAGAGCCCTCCATTTTTTTCTTTTTTTAATTTAAAAATCTCGATCCTTTATTAATTTAAATTACTTTTTTGTTTTTTTTTTTTTTTATATTCAATCAACGGTAGAGATTTAAATGATCAATCTTGAAAAATAAAATTAGAGAGAAAATATTTGTAAGAAAGAAAAAAAAAATATATATAAACTTTAAAGATAAAAAAAATAATAATAATAAATAAAGTAAGAATTTTTTAGAAATAGAATAAAGTAAAAAAAAAAAAAAATGCTCAAAGCAATAATTATGAACAAGAAAATAAGAAAAAAAAAAGTAATATAACCTCTGAGTTCCGATACACTTTCATCGTTAATGGTGCACGTTTTTGAAGTCTTAAAAAAAGGAAAATAACACAAATGAATATAAAAATATGATCGGTAAATAACTCGTTTGTAGACGTATAATTAAACATTAATTAGAGTAATATATAGGTGATATATATATATATATATATTTATTTATTTATTAACGAAAAAAAATTGTTAGTAATATCCAAAATTAGTATGGTAATTTAAGGAAGGACAATAATTTTAATTTTTGATATTTATGGAGAAGTAATAATATTGTTATTAATATCTGATAAATGTTATTATCATTCATAAGCGCCGCCACTGTCCGACTCGGGGCAGAGTACAAAATTACAAAATTTTAAATTATTTTACCAAAAAAAGAAAAAGAAAAAGAAAAAGAAAAAACTTGTCACAGAAAACTCACATACAGAACCAGCCGAACATGGCGGAGAGCAAGCTTCTTGTTCTTTCTTTCTTTCTCTCTCTAGAACCGGCCTGCAATTGAAGAACAAGAAGAAGAAGATGGATATTAACGCTTGATCCACTTCTCTTTTCTTTGATATTCCGAATTCTTGAAGTAATCCGTTGATTTGATTCTTCCTCCATCGGTAGCCAGTTTGAAATTTGTTCTTGTATGGTTTTTCTGAGGAATTTTGCGACGGGATCCTCTGTTGGAGGGAGGCGTTGATGAAGCTTCTTCGTCGATGGCAGAGGATTCTGATCCTCTCTCTGCTCTCTGTCTCTGTTTTTGCTCCTTTGGTTCTCGTTTCTCATCGCCTCAAGACCATCACTTCTATTGGTTCGTTTTGTATTTCTCCTCTTATGTTATTGATTACTGAGTGTAAGATGAAGACCGTGGGTTTTGGTTTTGGATTCGATGTCTTTTTTTGTTGGGTTTTGGTTTGATTGATTTAGTTCGTTGTTTGTTTTGATTTAGGGCGGAGGGAGTTCATCGATGACTTATGGAGCAGGGTATGGCTGTTTTTCGTTCAATTCTTGTGTGGGTTTTGTTTGTGGATTCTGTTTTTATGCATTGGACATTTGTTTTTCGATTTTTTGGTGATATATTTTCAATCATATGCGATGTTTGTGGTAAATATGAATGCTATAAGAAGATTGAAGGCGGTTCTTTTTGTTTTTGTTCTTTGGAGAGAAGCGAAGAGATGTTGAAGCACTTAGCTCAATGGAACAGGTACTCTTACATATCACTTAAGTTTGCCATGCTCTGAACTTTGTGGATAGTGATTTTGATCTATACTGGCATTGTCATGAAGGAACCGGGCGAGAGCTTGAAAGGACCTAAACCTATAGTTTTCAAAGATAGTGATTTCCAATCTAGAGAAGGAATTAACTCCCTCGAATTTGGTATGTGTTTTTTCTTGTGCCTTATTTGTCTCCTGCAGTTCTTATTTCTCTTATTTATGTTGCTTTGTTCTGGGCTACTCCTTTTGAACTTCAGGAAGTAATCCCAGCAAAGAACATAAGGATAATCGGTTTGATGATGGAGGGGAAAAGGTACTTTGTTCTACAAATCCTGTTGATTCTCTCTTGGCTATGAACTAATAATTGGAACTTATCTCCTTCCAAATGATATTTTGTATGTATATATGTGGTATTTGGCTATATTTAGGGGTGTAATGCCTTTGTTTCGTATATTATTTGTAACAACCCGAGCTCACTGCTAGTAGATATTGTCCGCTTTGGCCCGTTACGTATCGTTGTCAGCCTCACGGTTTTAAAATGCGTCTACTAGGGAGAGGCTTCCACGCCCTTATAAGAAATGCTTTGTTCCCCTTTCCAACCGATGTGGGATCTCACAAACTGCCTCCTTTGGGGGTCAACATTCTCGCTGGCACACTGGTCGGTGTCTGGCTCTTATACTATTTGTAACAATCCAAGCACACCGCTAGTAGATATTGTCCGCTTTGGCCTCTTACGTATTGTCGTCAACCTCACGATTTTAAAACGCGTTTACTAGGGAGAGGTTTTCACGCCTTTATAAGAAATGTTTCAATCCGCCCCCCTTGGGGGCCAGCATCCTCATTGGCACAACGCCTAGTGTCTGACTTTGATACCATTTGTAACAACTCGAGCCCACCACTAGTAAATATTGTCCACTTTGGCCCGTTACGTATCTTCATCAGCCTCACGGTTTTAAAACGCGTCTACTAGGGAGAGGTTTCCACACCCTTGTAAGGAATGCTTCGTTCCCTTCTCCAACCGATGTGGGGATCTCACATTATTTGTTTCATTCTTAAATGTAATGATTGATCACTCTCCTGTTGCAAAGCAGTTTCTTGAGAAACTTCACATTCTTGCTAATGATTTTTGGTTCTCAACATATGAGTTTCTGTATAAGTGGCCTCATCATTCATGAACAACTTGCCTTTGTTCATCGCTTAAGTTGTTTTTTGTCCCCATATAAACATTAGAAGCACATATATCAGCAAAATTGGAATTAATATTGATTCTTTAGCATGTAACTAAGTTCACCTGCAAATTGGTTCTAAATTTTGATTGCAGAATCATTCTTATAAGGAAACTGGACAACATGATCGGGGTGCTGTCAAGCGTGATAAGAATTCGCGCATAGCCCAGTCAAGATCAGTAGTAGATTATAAAGTAAAGGAGATGACAGATCAACTGATAAGAGCCAAAGTCTACCTAAGTTTCGCCCCACCAGGTAGCAATTCTCATTTGACGAAAGAGTTAAGACAACGAGTCAAAGAGCTAGAACATGCAGTCGAGGAAGTTACTAAGGATTCAGCTCTGACAAAGAGGTAAATAGTGGAAAATTATATGCAGATTTTAATTAGAACAGAAATCTAAAGCAGTGAAACTTCACCTGAAATGCTGTTAAATTTACAGTGCTTTGCAGAAAACGAAGAACATGGAGTCTTCATTAGTAAAAGCAGGCCATGCTTACCCAGACTGCTCGGCAATGTCTTCAAAGCTTCGAGCTATGACAGACAATGCTGAAGAGCAAGTTCGTATGCAAAAGAAACAAGTTACTTATCTTGTAAATCTTGCTGCAAGAACCACCCCTAAAGGCTTTCATTGTCTATCAATGCGGCTGACTTCTGAATACTTCGCTTTGCCACCACCTTCGGAGAGGCAGCTGCTTGAACAGAAAAAGTTGCTTCATGATACTAAGCTCTATCATTATGCTGTCTTCTCCGACAATGTTTTGGCTTGTGCTGTTGTTGTCAACTCCACTGTTTCAAGTGCTAAGGTATAGCATTTAAAGCTCATTTAGCTCAAAATGTGCCATTTCTTGATTTGTACTGGGGCATTCTCCGACCGAAGTTCCACTCCTTGCAACTGTTTTTCCTTGAATAACCTAATGGATCTACCGCAACTAAACAACAACAATAACACAATGGCAACCAAACCAACAACTATGATCCTCTCGGCAAT